TTCGTTGCCCCTTTCCTCTAAAGAGGCATGATTCCCTTCCAGTCTCGGGCTTTATTTTCGAGCTCCTTCTTTTTCATCCTTTTCATTTTCTGTTTTTAAATTGTTGACATGGGGCAATTCCTACAAGTTTCCGTTCTGCGTTAATGGCATGCCTTAGGTGCATACGAATAGTTAAATTAATATGTTCGCAGGGGTGGGCCAGTAGTGATCTAATCTTGACACAAAACGTATCCCCCTCTCTCTTGTGCGATTCCCTGATGTAAAGGCAGTATCGGGTGAAATACCAACTCTAATCATAATCGGCTTCTTGTGGGCGTGGTAGTTTTAATCAAAAATCGATAACATCCCAACTAACTGCTGAAAATTTACATAGCGATGTATGAAAGTAACATCAAACAAAGCGTAGACCCATAAGAAATGCGCACGTTACATAAAGCATGGCCTCCCTGAGTGGCTTAACTGTATACTGGTCAATCAAAAGCTGATGCACCTCAGGTACAAATCAGACTTTGTGATCCTTTGTAGGGTAGGGATTTGGCAACAGGGTACCATCATGAAGATCTGGACAGGAGGGGCAGCTCTGCTCACTGCATGGGCATCGTCCGATTCGCCTGCTCTCGCACTGTATGGAGGACTTTGGACGAGTTCCAGACGTCCGTGTTCGGAAACTCGTCCAGCTCCCCCATTAACTGGTGTGCTTTTGTCTTTGGTTGCAGCACAATCGATGCAATACATTCTACTCCTTTGCTGCCTGAAAAGCGCAACGGAAAACAGTGCATCTCGCTATTTTAGATTTGGAGAAAGCTTCCGATCGCATGCTGCGGGAAGTTATATGATCTGCTCTGCGACAGCACAGAATTCGTGAAAGTAAGTACGCATGCTCTACTAGAATCCGACGAGTCGACAACCAAGAACGGCATTGACCCTTCGCCAATTCCCAGCTCGGCCAGGTTCATCAAGGTTGAGCACTTTCCCCACTTCGCTGTCGTCGTGGACGTCGTACTCCACATGGAATCTTCGAAGTGGATGTGTAATGGACGCTTCTTTATGCTAACGATGTAAGGCTGGCTTGCGAACAAGGCATTCCAGCAACAGGTGCATGCCTATTCCGACCGTCTGACATTGTTCGGAAGTCGGCTGAATGACAAAAAGGTTCCTTAATTCAGTTCTGTGGTCACACGTTTGGACTGTATTCGCGAAGACGCAACGAGGGAGCGTTTTGGAGTAATCCCTATTGCTGATGCAACTTACGTGCGTCCGAGGGTGCGCGCGGCATATTGCGCGGCGAAGTTCGTAACGATTTGAATGGCTTCAGCGCCTATCAATTGGGTCCAAATTTGGAGTAGAGTAGATTATTAGGATCAGCTGACCATACCCAACTATTCCACTCCGAGTTTGTGCTCCGAAAATTACCGTAAGAGTTGTTCGAATCACTACGCACTTCGCCGCGCAATTTACCGCGCGCATGCTCGGACGCACGTAGGTACCCATACCCACATAGACGTTCCCTTAAAAAGGGTGTCACCAAAGCAGGTATTCCTTGACAGCTTTCACGATGACTTGAAGTGAGTCGCCTTGATTCCAACCATTCATTCCTCCACCAGCATTCAATCAGGAAAGTGACATCAAAATACCAGAGAAAGGGGACCTCACATCAAAGTGGGACAAACGCTCAGGCAGGAGCAGAAGTGGAAGGAGTAGTTTGAAAATAATGATTGCGTGGATTTCTGAGGCTGACAAATAAGTATTGTTCCACGGAATGCTCTACGGAATTTCTTTCTCCTTCACAGGAAGAAGAGAATCATTTATTCAGATATATATTAACCATAAAATACTAAGGTGTCCGATTTATAAATGGAAATTGCTCCGCAAAACGAGTGTTTACCCTTTAAGATGAATGTGTGAAGTACTTAGAAAAATGCGCAGTCACCTAGTCACCAACCTAATCGAATCAGAGTCTACTGAACTGAAAAGCAGCCGTCTGAAGAACTCATGCGAAGAGTTGTCCTCGTGATTCTGGGGGTCAACCTGCAGTGGACGCCGTATGCAGTCAGTATTAAAATCCAATGTAGGTAAACGACACCAAAGAGCTCATTTCATATGTCTCAATGTTCATTCATAGTTTAGGGCTGCTTTAATTTTTGCTTGGCCAAGTTATTCCCACGCAGGAATGTCGTATTCGCTGTCGTTTCCTTCACTTCCTTCGACAGATATCTAGCAAAATTGTTGTTGTCCCTACAACTCCCAGGGTGTAAGCGCATAGTCGAAGAAGAAGAGGGCTCTTTTAATAGTGACCAGAAAGAAAGGAGTGGTAAGCGCAGAAGTAGGTGTGGAAGAAAGGATAGAGGAAGGTACTGGAAATATTGGGAAGGAAAATCGGCTTGGTTTACGAATGGGCTTACATATTGGACTGATAACAAGATCTGATTTTTTCAGGATACCCAGAACATTCAGTACGGAACTAGTTATAGAAAATTTTACAGGCTTTGCGAAGTCTAGTCTTCTAGGAATTCGAGCAAAATGAGAATTCCACAAGAGTAGCTTCAACACATTCACATAATCGTCTTTAAATGGTGTTGTGACAGCACAGTAACACATCAGCCCATCATATCAGTTCTTCACACCGCCCAACATTTGAGGTAAGCAAACCAGCCCGTTTGGCCCTCCTGCTTGATGCATATACTTATTCTGCGATCCTGTATAAGGGTCTCATAATCCCACTCAGAGAGAGTACGTGGGAGTCGCTTCTAAATTCCAGATAGAAGACACTTCCTTATTAATATGTGGAAGACTTGGGCGAATATATTAATCCACTGTTAAGGCGCACCATACTGTCATAGTTGCACGGCAGCCTTATTTACACCGTATAAAGAACTTCTACCTACGATTTAGAAGCAACTCCCCACGTACTTTCCTTAAGTGGGATCGTGAGACCCTTAAACAGAATCGCAGAATAAGCAAATGCATCCAGCAGAAGATCCAAATGGACTGATTTGCTTACCTCCCAACACTTTGTACTACTGGGTTTCCTTGCAATTGGTGCAGCCTGGGGGACGGAACATTCACCCAAAACGGAATGAACGCGG